GTACGAATAGTCTATAGTCCTTATTGTTCCTACTTCTCGCCTAGTCCTGCCTGTTAAGTCCACAACACTATTCTCAGCCTCTGCGATATGAAGCATGTATTTCAAGTATACTGGGTTTATATACAGACCAAAAAGACACACATCGTACCATAAAATAGGAAACAACATATTATACAAGATTTAGCCAAATGTGGCTGCGAATGTGGAAGACTGCAATCGATAGACTAGGCATAACTCAAGAACGGTAAATCGTCTTCAAAATTTCCTCTTCAGCTGAAACCTGGTTTGTTCTCCTACATAGAAGGCTGTTGCTGATGGTACCCGATCGATAGATGTTGAGTCACTTGCGTAGACAACTAATGATAAATACTCGTACATGTTTGATGATGGTTGTAGTAGCTCTCGAAGTTTGAGTTCAGTACAGCAGAACCATGTTGACGTTTGTATTGAACATTCTGACTTTCATGTTGTTTGAGGGTTGTTTTGAGTTTCATATTTTCTTTTAATTTTAGGAATGCGGAACTTGCGTCTTTTATACGGTTCAAAAACATTGCCGAAAGCTTTTCTTGGTAATGACAGTAGTGTGCTCCCTCTGTATTTCTCACATTTGTTTAAATGTCCTTTCTTTGGTATGTTGATGAGGAGTGCTTCTTTCCAATCCATCGGCACCTGCTGTTTAAACGAGATATTTTATGTCAATTATTACAAATGTGAAATATATCTATTTGAATATTATCTGCAAAAAGGTTTATGCAATTTGTCAATTCGTACATACTACGTATTATTCATTACTGTTCATTATTATTCTTTCCTGGGTTTTTGAGAAAAGATTTTGCTTGTATTGCAGCGAGTGCTGAAGACAGTTAGTAAAGTGTGTGGTGAATCTTATGAAGTCATTATTAAAATATGATTATGAATAGATATCTAAAGTCTTGTAAACTCCTGGCAGGTGTTATCTTATCAAATAATAACCATCTACTACACACACATCTTTCTCCTTGTATATCTTCTGGTAGAACGAAACGTAAATACACTAACATTCATGAACCCTAGGCAAGGTATAAAAGTTCTATAATACTATACCTAACAAATATACTCTATGACGAACAGGTTGTTAGAGTTAACTTAGTGAATAACCTGTATCCTTAAACATGTTTCTAATTTGAAAAGTTGTACAGATTTAGATTTTTTTTTCAAAGTTTATGTACTCGCTAAACTTTCAAAGAGTCACATTCAGTAGTACGCAAGAGTTTATTCAATAGAATAATCTTTTTTTTCTATCTTAGTGTGGTATACATTTCTAGTAGTTTTCACAGAATTTGAGTTTTGAATACTTATATTAATATCAATGGTTAAGATCATGAGTCAGTTAAAGTTAGACCACTCTGGAAAACCTGCAAGCACTGGACGTGCGTTTCGTCTTATTTTGGGACTCCTCAGCAGTGCGCATCCAAGATCCCACCCTTTGAGAGATTCGAACCCTGGACCTACTGGTTTCGCGCGCGAGCACTTAACCACTAGACCACTGAGCCGGCATCCAACGGTGTTATTGGTTAATAGTTAATTTTAGTTAGCGTTTCACAGTTTCCCTAGTTGATCTATTATAACTAAAAGTAATAAAATAAAGATGAAGTCAGTTTATCATTAAATCATTGATTTTTTTTCAATAAAATTAAATCAGTGATGACGTATATAGGGAAACAAACATTAATATACTGCAATATTCATTCTAGTTCAGGACCTTATCATCTGTTGAACTAACGATCTTTCAGTCCCGAAGTAGGTGCTCCAATTTTTGAACCAATAGGTCATCATTCAATGGTTTCTATGTCTAATTTCAATAGTGTATGCCCAATCTAAATTTCATATCGGTATATAATATAAAGACATTTGGGTCAATAATAGTGTTTTCGATTAAATCCACGTCATAATTTACTATAATATGAAGTTACATCTGTTGTGACTTTAAGCTCGACTAGTTATCACGTAATTTATTAACTGATCGAAATATCAATTATTCAATCTTAGAATTATACGGAAACCAATGACACTCGACCGGTATGAGCGGCCTAGCATCCTTATTGATCCTTTATTCGCCTAACCCGTCCATTTGATTCCGGAACACCACTAACAGCTTCCATTATGCGAATCATTTATTTTAAACATACTTGGTTTATATACAAGCCAAACAGATCACGTCACAACATAAAATAAGAAGTAACATATATACAAGATCTAGCCAAAAAGTGGCTGTGATTGCTGAGGGGGGGATGGTAATAAATAAACTGAACATAATTTAAGAACAAGAAGTCGTATAATAACAATCTATGCGTCAAAATAAAGCTTATAATAAGAGGAATATAGATATACACAGTCTAATTACTGAATAGTAGTTATACAATAAGAATATATGAAGATAATATTAGTCCATTAATAGTTTTCAGAAGTTACCCATCGTTTATTCTTCACTTGGATATAAAAACATCTACATAAATATACAAAAACTTACCTTGATTGATTTAATATCCCTTTAAATCAATCAAATTGTCCAAATATGTTACAACGTTTTAATTAACATTCATTTATACCTTTTGTTTTCTAATGAATATCAGTTTGAATCAATCAATGCATTCAATTAACCATAGTCAATCTGTGAATTAAAGTTTAATCTAAATTACATACTTACTTAGTTACTTACAACTGACTTACACCTGTTACCCTTCATAAAGGAGTATAGTCTACCTACCAAGATTCTCTATCAAATTTGCTTTTGGGTTAAAAATAAAAATCATTAATTTATCCAAATGTGCTTACATTCGTTTTTCTTCACTCGATTCACATAATTTCATTTTTATTCACTTGATATTGTTTGGCTTGTATCTTCCTATTGAGGTTTAAGACTGCAATTGATCAGTCTGTTATTAACATATGTGCATACTGTGCATATGCCTCAATATTGCCTTAATTCACAAGCTTTTAGTAAGCAATGATGAATAGTGGCTAGCAGTGGAATCCAGTTTAACGCGCAAGTACATCCAGATGACGAGTCTCAACTGGGACGAAACGTGCGTCAAATTGGATTCCACTGCTAGTCACTATCCATCATTTCTTTTCTAGTTTTTATTTAGACCAATACTAAATAACTACTTATTTCTCTCTTTTATAGTTTTGTTTACATATTAACCAAGGTAAAAGAGAAAAGCAAAAAAAAACCAAACCTTATGCGTAATTAATAAATTCATTTCCATAAACATTTGTCATTTAGAAAAAAACAAACAAAAAAAGAAAACATTAAAAAATTAAATTTCATTTATATTGAAATTAGTTTATCAATAGTTTCAACCTGGTTTCACACCTTATTGTTTGTTTACATTTAATTATATAAGATTAGAAGTGAAAAATTGTTTTGAATAGGGTGGGGTAAGAAAATTTAGTGTGACTATAATTTCTGGATGACATTTGAGAAATGTTGAAATGATTTTGAGAGTGTTCATCTAATAAATAGGACCATATGATGGTTATGAAATATTGTGGGGAATAACTTACTTACTTACTCACTTATTTCTGTTACTCCAAATGGAGTATAGGCAGCTGGCCAGCATTCTCCAATCCACTCTGTCCTGGGCCTTCTTTTTGTAGTTTCATCCAATTCTTGTTTATTTTTCTCATGTCTATCTCCATTTCTCGGCGTGATGTGTTCTTTCGTCTTCCTATTTTTCTTTGGCTTTGAGGATTCCATGTGAGGGTTTGTCTTGTGACGCAGTTGGGTGCTTTCCTCCTCACAGGAGCTAATCATTGTTGTCCAACTTGCGTCCGACGAGTTTCACTGATCCCAAGCACCTCTAGGTTGTATCTCCTCATTTCTGCAGCAATTTGGAAGACTCTCCAGGTCTCTTCCATGTACCTAAATAAATGGTTGCTCTGGTTGTCAGAAGGGGCATCGGACTCGTGACTTCCGAAGGAACTCGGCTTTCATCATGAGGCGTCATAACTCTTCTAAATGAAGACCTTATGACTTACAGGGCAGAGTTTAAAAAATTTAATAATTTTTTGGTTAGTGTTTTTTAGCGAGTTAGTTTTCTACAGAATACGGTCGCTGACGCCATGTCCACCCCCTCCTTTATCGGAACTTGGGGCCGGAAGTAGCCCCCGGAGGGACAGCCGGAGGAGTTACTGTGGGGGAATTATAATTATAATTTTTATTTCAGTGGTTAAGATCATGAGTTAACTGAAGATAGATCATTATGGAAATCGTGTCAGCACTGGATGGCTGTTTCGTCTTATTCTGGAACTCCCCAGAATTGGCATCTATGATCCCGCCTTGCTAAATTCCAACCCAAGACCTATCAGTCTCACACGCGAGCACTTAACCACTAGACCATTGAGCTGGTTGGCATTCAACTGTGTTAATGACTTATGATCTCAACCATTGAAATTACTATAATATCTACAAGAACCCTTCTGATTTGAAATGATGAGTCGATCTAAGTTAGATCACCATTGAAAACCTGGAAACACTGGATAACCATTTTGTAATTGAATCTTTAATAAGAAACCTTGCATTACGGTGATAATGATAAGATGTTTGAGTAAACTGGGAAAGATGAATATACGAATAGAAAAATGGGACAATGGTCAAATTAAAATAAAAAAGGTATAGACAGAAGGTTTATAATACGTGGCTTATTTATGAAATGACCTAATCTTGAACCATTGTAAACATAGGAACTAAATGTACATTTTTTAGGGTAGAGAAGTTTGATGTTTAACCTTCAAGTATAGTCTTCATCTCATTAATTTACGTAGAATTTTCGAAAAACGAAAGTGAATTAAGAAAGCTTCGTCTATCTAACTGTGATTATCATACTTTACTAGTGAGAGATTATGATACAGTTATAATAGTTGACTTCTTTTTCAATAAACATTTCGATACATAATCAATAAGATGCAAGGATAAGACTCTTTGAATGAGCAATTTAGTATCTTTAATTCGAAGACCTATGATTTATTCATTCAAAATTGTCGCGATATCATCATCATCATCATCATCATCATCATCATCATCATCATCATCATCATCATCATCATCATCATCATCATCATCATCATCATCATCATCATCATCATCATCATCATCATCATCATCATCATCATCATCATCATCATCATCATCATCATCATCATCATCATCATCATCATCATCATCATCATCATCATCATCATCATCATCATCATCATCATCATCATCATCATGATGTTCATTTCTCGACGTAATGTGTTCTTTGGTCTTCCTCTTCTCCTTTGGCATTGAAGATTGCAAGTGAGGGATTACCTTGTGACGCAGTCGAGTGCTTTCCTTAATGTGTGTCCTATCCACTTTCAGTGCTTATTCCTGATTTTTTCCTCCGCTGGGATCTGGTTTATTCTCTCCCATAGTAGGTTGTTTCTGATAGTGTTTGACCGACGGATCCGAAGTATTTTGCTTAGAATTCAACTATAAAATTACTAAAATCTCCACAAAACTCCCATTCTGTTAATAAGTCATTATTTTCTGATATTGTAGATTACAATTTAAAAATTAAAAAAGTAACAGAGTATTACATTATTTCATTGAAAACAGTATACCTGATATTTGTTGAGAATTACTTGAATAGCTATAAAATAAATTCCTTACGGTTAATTATTGCTTAAAATATCTTATTCAGTCAATGATTTCATACTTTCTATGAGTCAGTCAGTAAGCCACAAAGTAGAATCAGGGACATGTGTGCATTTGTCCAAGTTGCCATACCACATTAGCGCAACAAGATGAACACCGGATTCATAGTAGTTAATTCAGTGGTGGTAATATCTAAAAGAAAAATTTCATATAGGGATATAATAAAGCGAACAAAAAGTTGGTTGATAGAAAGGAAGAAATGAAACGATTTTAATCTCATAGTTTAAGGGAAGACAGAGTTTATACACCAATGTCATTGTGTTCGATCCTGAGCCATATCACACAGAGTCTCTAACCATTGGTTACGATAGTCACGCGGACCCCAACCAAGTAGTCTGCATCTACCAACATGGCTCAGACTAGAAGTTAGTGACTTCAAGCACTGATGCCACGTTTTGGTTTGGACGTCCCTAATTCTCTTCCAACCATCCCCAACACCGGTTAGCATTGCACGTCGTGGTAATCGGTGTTCAATCATACGTAACACGTGGCCCAACCATCTCAGTCGATGACGATGCACAACCTCATCAACTGATTTACCATCATTCCCTGATACTCTGCGTCTAATCTCACTATTACTTACCCGGTAACCCCAGCAGATGCCAGCAATATTCCTAAGGCATCTGTGGTCAAATACTACTAGTTTACGAGTATCTTCTACTCTTAACGGTCACGTTTCGCAGCTGTAAAGTAGAACAGAATGAACTGCTGCGTAGTATACTCGTCCCTTATTTGATAGATGGATATCTCGCCTTCACCATAGGTGACGTAAGTTGGCAAAAGCCAAACGAGCTTTCCGAATCCTTGCCCACATTTCGTCGGACATCAACCCATTGGGGCTGTTTTTATCACAATTAGTTTCTATGATAATAACAGTGATTTGTATTTAAAGAAAAGCAAAGACTATTCAAAATTGAATATAATGAGTATTTAACTTGAAAAGAAAACTAGAAAACAACGAAACAGTAGTGCAATTTAAACTTAAAATGACCAACAAAAAACAAACTCATTAAGTAATTAAACAATGAATTGTAAATTTATATTATTTTTTTATAGTACTTATTATCTACTTATATTGTAGCGTTTATCAATCATCTTGATAACCGTTATTATATAAATCCCAACGGTGTTTGAAATAAGAGAGCAATAAAAAGCGGCAACTAAAGTTTATTTGCGAATAGCACGGATAACAAAGCTACAAGCACATTGAACGAATTTGAAGTAGAAGGGGGGATGTGTGTGTGTGTGTGTGCGAGCAAATATAGAGGCTAAAGAAATATGTGCATAGGCTGTTGTATGGTCAAGCGTACACGTTTATACAGACAAGATCATAATAATACAAAGAAATAGACGAATTGTTATTGTTCAAATAACATTATCTATTAAGTAAGCTAATAAAAGGGCTTAACGAAAATTAATCCTCATCGACATTGATTGTACGAGAGTTACCATTATGCAATAGAATGCAATGAAAATGATTACATATATTTTTCACATCATTATTACATTAAATCTACCTTTAATACTTTGCAGCAGTAGGGAAGACGACAATATTTTCCCAGATAAATGTAAATTTAATACAGTTAAATATAGAAAACTTAAAATTTTTGACAAGGAAATGAATTATTGATGAGACTATAAATTATGGACAACCTTTGAGCAACGCTAAAATGACCTTGAGAGTCTTCATCTAGTAACTAGGACCAAATGAGGATCATTAACCAGTGTGAGGAATTGGAATTATGATTTACAGTTGATGGTTAAGGTTGTGAATTAGGTTTAGGATTTTCATCACGGACTGACATCAGCTATAATGACAAAACTCTATTTAGCCAAATGGATGTGTGAATTTCGCGCCAAAATCCCAGAGACCTATTATCTTACACCTGATTGGTTCGTCTATAAATTATAGCCTCGCCTTTATATTTATGAGTAACGATCAAAAATTATTTATATTAGAAATATCTAAAGTTATACTCTTCAGTTTTATCAAAATCATTTCTATTAGTAGGTGTAATAAGCCTTCCTAATACGTTGGACAACAATCCATTCCATATTCAATCTCATATAATATAGAATCAATCTAAGGTCTAAGCTTTATTCGAAAACTTGTTACAGCTTACTTATTACATAATTTGTTTCTTTTAAAATTATCATTATCGCTTACATTTTTATTATAAATACCACAGTAAGCATATGTATTAAAAGATAATGAATGGGTAAATCAATATTTCCAGATTATATATTTTAGTGTAAAACCATCATTAAACACTGTTACACCTTAGCAACAAAAAAGGAACCAATATTAAGACGTGAATTTGAAGTGTGGCTATTAGTTAGATATAGATTGTTTGTTTCGTCCTAGTTGATGCTCGTCAGCTGCGTTTAAGCGTTTATGGTTGCACTAAGATGCGAATCAATTAATTAAAAAGCAAACATGCTATTCATCAATCTACTGAATTTGGATTCCTATTAACTTGTTCAATAGATATGAATATCACCTCTGGATGCCGGCTTAGTGGTCCAGTTGGTTAAGCGTTCGCGCGCGAGACCGAAGGCCCTGGGTTCGAATCCCGCGAGCGGGATAGTGGATGCGCGCTACTGAGGAGTCCCACAATAAGAAGAAACGGCTGTCCAGTGCCTGCATGTTTTCAATTGTGATGGTCTAACATCAATCGGTTCATTATCTCAATAAAAAAGATATGAATATACAAACACATATAAATATGTTCATCAATCAGTTATAGGTACAGTCAGCTGATGAGTTCCAAATAGGAGGAAACTAACATTTCACATTCTGTTGTTAATTACAATTCAAATCATAATAAAACGTGTAAATAAATAACATTTTGAGATGTTGAAGATTTGTAGCTTAAGTAGATGATTTTGATAGACTATTGTTCTTTGAGCTGAATGGTTTGGTCATGAAGCATTCATTGTTCTTTTGAACGACATCATCAGAACAAACGTCTACTTGAATAGATAACACTATCAAGACACAATCTATACATATCAAAATATATTGATGAATGGTAGTTTTGAAAATTTTCGAATCTCTTACAAATTAAAGAAATTCACCCCATAAATATATGGTTAAACGTTGAGTAATTATAACTCATAAGTTGAAATTTTACATTTTCTCTCTTAATTATACCCTACATATAATGAACTGGATAAAAATGAATATTTATATCATTTTGGATAAGCAAACGAAGGGTAAGTCCTCATAAACAAATGAAGTCTATTATTATGTAAAGTACATGAAATAAAAACAATCTGTTTGTTTATTGAAAACTAAAATGAATAACACCTCATACTTGACTGAAAAAAGTTTGATAGGAATAATCTATATAAGAAAGAAGGTTTTGTGGGGATTGTAGTAACTTAATTAATGAATTTGTGAGTCGATTAAAGCTAAACCGTTATTGAGATCTTGAAAGCACTAAACGGCCGTTTTGTCCGAGTTTGGGATTCTTAGATAGTGCTTATTCACAATCACACGCGAAGGACTCGAACCCAGGACCTCCGGTCTCGTGCATGAATGCTTATGCTCTCCCTATACTATACGCATATTTTTATCGTATAGTTGTTAAATAACTAAACTAAACATGGAGAAGATTTGTAGCTCAGGTGGATGATTTTGGTGGAGTTTTGTTCTCTGAGCTGGATGGTTTGGTCGTGGAGCTTTCATCGTTCTTCTGAACGACATCATCAGATAGAAGTCTATCTGAAGTTTGTGCTGATGATGTCGTTCAGAAGAACGATGAAAGCTCCACGACCAAACCATCCAGCTCAGAGAACAAAACTCCACCATAAACTAAACATATTTATGTCTCTCTTATTATCAGCTTTATTTTGACCTATGAACTATTATTATACGATTTATCATTTTTGAGTTATACCCTGTCTATCAATTATTATCCCCCAGATTCACAGCCACTTTTGGCTAAATCTTGTACTAATGTTATTTCCTAATTTATGGTATGATGTGATCTGTTTGACTGGTTTATAAACCTAGTATGTTTGACGTAAATGATTCATATCGCATAGGCTGAGATTGGTGTTCCAGAGTTAACAAGCGGGACTAAACAGGAAGTAGAACCGATAAAGACTCGAGACTGTTCGTACTTGTTTTATGCGTCATTGATCCGGTCGATAAATCACTGTTCCCTAGTTGGCGGTATCATTACGTTATATATCAACAGGACACAAGGAACAAATTATAAAATGTAGCTTTTTATCCGTTTTGTTAGAGGTTGTTTTATTACTGCGCAACTTTTGATGTAATCAGAACCAAATGTGAAACATCCAGATTACAAGGTTTTCAAGATACTTTTAATAAACTGAATTACATAGTAAATTCCAATTTGTTCACGATTCCACCCTCCAGAATCCTTCATTGTTATTGGTGGTATTTCTTTCAATCCAGATACTATTCATCATATCTAGTAATTGAGTCTTCTTAAGCTTTTAGAAATAACTTGACAAATTCAATTACAAGTGTGTAAATGTGTTATAAAACTACCATGACTTTAA